CTGCCAATCGAACATGCTCTTGACACTGAGTGCAGCCAGTGCACCCCAATCGAAAACGCTATTACTCGTCTAGAACGATTCTTTGTTTTCACAAAATAAATTACATATAATGGGGGTGATCCCGATTGACCACGTCTCGATTGGATACCACCAATCACAGCGACCGATGCTTAGGAGCTTTGTAGTCACTCTCAAGCGCTGTGAGTGGCTCGTGTCCAATTGAGCCGTGTCCAACTGGGTGCCACCCCATATAATGTATATGCCTTTTCTCCGATTCTCGCGCGTAACCACGAACAATTTAGCCCGCGACGTCGGCCCCCGCGCTTTTCATCTTTTACATTACTGGATTTCTCTAGAAATCACTAGTACTGTAGTGCGCATGAGCTAAAAAGGCGGCATACCTACCAACACTGGTCGCAGCACGAGGAATGGAGACTCTAGTTAGAGACTCTCTTTACGGTCTCTTTATATTAGGGCCATTTTCACCAAGCTCAGTTAACTTAACCAGCCTAGTAACTATAATGAAATAGAAAGAGATAGAAATAGTTCTATCTCTTTCTATTTCATTACAGTTACTAGGCTGGTTAAGTAAACCGACGATGGTGAAAGTGGCCCTTAAGGAGCCGATTCTGTAACTCTTAACGACAATCGTTGATGTCATTGAGCAGCTTTTTTACTCTACATAATATCTGCGCAACGACTGTCGTTAAGAGTTAGGGTGGAGTCCCATGAAGCGTGTTTGCCGCGTATCGCGTAACCGCGTAACCAATCAATAATCAGTAAAACGCGAAACCACAACAGCGGATCGCTTCTGATTGGTTACGCGGTTACGCGATACGCGGTAAATACACCTCATGGGACTCCAGCCTTACAGAATCGGCCCCTAAAGGCCATTCTACATTGGTCGTATCGTAACGTCGGAAGTGTCGTAAGTATCATACGACTTTAAAATTGAAGGATCGGGATTGGCTGAAGCAATAAGCTTGTGACTTGCGATGTCTACGATACGACCAATGTAGAAAATGGTCTTATGAGTCTCTAGTTTCAGCAAAATCACAAGAAAGAGAGAGGAATATGTTGTGTCTCTTTCTAACCTTCATAGTTCTCGTGTGAGTCGTGATCTCGTAAGATACGTCTTATACTATATAATCAATTACGAAAACATGTAAACTTTGTACAAATTGCTTTGTATAAAATCAGTAGGATCCAAAACTGCTTTGTCATATTAATTTACAAAATTAACACGATTAAAATGTTATACAAATAATTCTTTAGTTTTTGTCAATATTGAAAAAGTTAAAAGTATTTATAAAATTTGAATAAATGTTTCGTCACTATTTCAAGTATATTGTTCATGTAAAAAGCAGTCAAGCATTATTTTCAATTAAAAAATTTTCTACAGTTAAAGCAAACCATATTTTAAAATATCACAGATTTTATTTACAAATCATTAAAAGATTTGTCATATTTAGGCTAAAGCGGGGAGCACAGACTCTTGCATAACGCATAACACGTAATGCATAAGAATATGTACCAATCGAAGTTCATCGTTTCTTTCCCTTCCATGTAATAGAGAACTCTGGTTGGTTCAATTTCTTATGCCTCATGTGTTATGCGTTATGGAAGAGTCTGTGCTCCCCGCTTAAGAATTAGCAATAAAAAAAGTACTAAATGTAAAACGTACGATAGTAAGTCCATGGCGATGCATAATATATACAGGGTGGACCATCTGAAGTGATCCAGTCAAATATCTCGAAAACTAGTAGGGATAGAGAAAAATGTTTCGTATGAAAAGTTTAGGGTTAC